TTCTTTTTTTTTTGCTTGTCTTCTCTTTCTTAAGTTTGTATTAGTTTTTACCACTGTAATCAAAACTCTTAATAAAAATTGTATTAAAAAATGAAATGTTAAGGGTGGTGAATCATGTTATGGAATATATTGGGAGTTTTACAATTTTTTTTAAATGCAGCTTCCCTGTCAAAATACAAAAATGCATATTTTGATAAAAAGTATAAATATGATACAAATAATATGGTGCAAAATATATTTGTCCCCAAAATTTTTGCAGCTCCAGAGGTATCAGGGTGTTTAGCATGTCAGGAGAGATTAATCTTATCTCCATTATCCAAATGGGAAATTGACAGTAGTAGCAGAGATTTAGTGGAAAGAGAAGATATCAAAGGAATGGCCAGGCTGGGAAACATGTGCCTCCCCAGATGTAGCTAAACGGCTGTGCACAGTATCCCTTGATGATGGAAGAAGATGGAAACGGCACCACAAATTGTGTCCTTGTATTAAAATAACTTTAAGAATCCATGAAACATTTTGTTTCAGACCACTGCATGCTTATAAAGAATGGATTTGCATTAAGAAGTTTTAGTATTTCCTTTTACAGTTCTCAATTGTATACTGATTGTGTTTTTAAATTTTTATTAAGTGCCCTGGATTTTTTGAAAAGATAAAATACTTTAAAGGAAAACAAAAAAAGAGTGTTTTTTTTTTTTGCAAAAAGAGAGAGAAAGAGGGGGAGAGAGAGAGAGAGAGAGAGAGAGAGAGAGAAAGAAAAGGCATGATACTTATATGGACATAACATGGTATAAGAAGTAGCTTTCTGACAACTCCTTTTTTCCATACCAATGGAAAAATGAATGTAATTGGAATGAATTTCACTTGAAATTAAGTGGGATTAAAGTATAGAAGCTATGCAGCTGGTTGCATGTCCATAATGCTTGATACACATAAAGGGTTCAGCTGGCCCTGTTGCTCAGTTGTATACAGTTGTATGTGAAAACTGTATAATATACAGTATATCATCAAGTATTTGTTCTTACTTTCACCTGTTTCTTTGCTCTTCCGTTTCTGCATTTTTAAAAGTGTTTGTTATTGAGTATACCTTGTTACATTGTTTAACATATTTTAGGTGCTGCCTTGCATAAGTGTTTTGTTAGGAACACATGCAAATTTAAAGATAAATAAAATAGAATTGGCAGAATTGCAGCACTCCAATTCTCTAAAAGCTCCCTCCCACCAGTTTTTAAAGACTGCAGCCAATTTATTGTAATTAATGTGATAAGGACAGCAGCTGTAGTCTCCTTTAATTCTTCAGCTTTAGCAGAGAGATAGAAAATGGATTAGTTAGAGATAAATGTAGCTCACAGCACTTTCTCATTAGAACAGATCCTTCAGAAATACTGCATTTTTGTAGCATGACTAGTTATTTGGTATGATGAGAGCAATTTGCCCCTGCCTTCAGGGACTTAGGCAGTATGGACTAAAGAGAAATAATGTTGGTTTATTTTAATAGTTTAGGAAGAATTCGCTTTGATTCAGGAATTCTGCTGAAGATTTTTCCCACTGAACTGCAGACTTTGTAATAAAACCCTGCATTCAAGTGCAAGAGACTTACAGTTGTCTTTCAGATAAACAGAGAAATCCAAAAGAAAATGAGACAGAGTCCCTTAGGTTTTGTCCAAAAATAACATGACTTTGCAAAAAAAAAAAAAAAAAAGATTCATACATTTCTTTTCAGCCTCACATTTTATGGTTAAAAATTAAAAATTCATAAATCCAGAATCCAGCAGTTCATCTTTTTCTAATGTTTGTCCTGCTCATCTTACTCTGTCACTCTCTTGACTCTGCCCTGTTTATTCCTCAGCTGACCACTGATCTATTTGAGCAAACAAAACATTGAGATAACACCTAAAAACTGCAGAGTTAAAAGAGAAAGCAAATCATGAATAACAAGGGCAGTAAGAAAAAAAGAGAGGAAAAAAAGGTTTATAGTAGCTTCCCTTACTGTTGTCAACTACTGATCATGTTTATGTTGTACTATATTAAGGAAAAATGCAAAAATTGTAAACATTTGCATTTGCTATTTCTACCAAGAGCAAAATTGGAAGAAAGTAAGGTAATTGATTAGTAGAAAAAATATTATTTAGCCAAGAAATAGTGATTAGGTCTGCATCAACTTATCTTTGATTGTGGGATATTCAAAGTTCTTTTTGTGTTTTTTTTAAAAAAAGATTTTAAGTACCACTAATCTAATGAAAGATGCATGTTAGTTCTCTGGTGCTTTGTGATAACAAGCCAGCCTTAGCAGCAGTATTTGGTAGCCTGCAAACCATTGTCTTTTGTTTGTTTTTTTCAGCAGAGGTTCTGGAAGTCTGGAATTTTATACATAAAAAATACTGCAAAAGCAGCACACTTGCTTGTGGGAGGGACAATGGAGGTGGCGATGAACAAAAAGAAAAAAAAAATTACAATCACTGCTGATATAGACACCATCCCACAAATCCTGATGGCACAAAGCACTTCAGAGCATCCAAGACATGTTTGGATCTTTTAATATACATACAATATCTTCATTCATAACAAGAATATATGGCATGCTACAAATGAAAGAGAGTGTCACCAGGTTCATTTTAGTAATTTGGTTTTTCTGTTTTGGAAGGAATATGTACAGTCGCCAAAATGATGTGATAGTGAACCTGTTCAATGTTTCCTCCATCTATTGTAAATCATTCTCTTACCAGTTGTATGCACTCATTTCACGAAGAGAAGAACAGAACAAGTGGGATTCAACATTAATTGCTGAATAGCAATTTATACCGTTTGTTTCTTTCCATTTTGCCACCTACATCACCACTGCAAGTCAGCTTGGGGTCAGAGAATGCCTTGAGGGAAAGAATTCACGCAGTCCCAAGTGGACCTAACTGACCTCTTGGGAAACCTATTCACCCAGTCTAAGGTAGAATCCAAGAGTTGGAAGTGAAGGCTTAGATGTGTCATTTGGCCTGCCCACTTGTCCCTAGATCTTATTATATTATTATAATATTATAGATTATTATATATATAATATATAATATTAATCTATTTTATACACACACACACAATATTTTATATATAATATAATTATATTATAATACTATTATAGATCCTGCTATCTAAGTTATGCGAGCCAGTTTGGTGTAGTGGTTAAGGCATCAGGCTAGAAACTGGGAGACTGTGAGTTCTAGTCCCACTGCCTGGCACAAGGTCACTTTCTCTCAGCCCCAAGAAGGAGGCAGTGGCAAACCACTTCTGAAAAATCTTGCAAAGAAAACTTCAGGGACTTGTCCAGGCAGTCTCCAAGAATTGGACACAATTGAACAGATTTAAAAAAATAAATAAATAAAAAGCTAGCTTACGACTATATTCAGCTCCCATAACCTCTTTCACTTAAGATGAGATTTTTAGAACCAAAAAGACTTTTTTGTAGACGCTCTAAGTATTCATTTGTAAGTGCTGTATTATGCATGGAACACTTCTGGGGTAGGGGTAGGGAACTAGATAGAATTATAACTTGCTACCTAGGTTTTTTTAAAGAAAGGTTTTCCTCCTATAAATTTTAAGTGCTCAGTGCCATTCAATCAGCTGACACTTTTATTTTGATGGGTGACCCTGATACTCTCCTTGAAGCAATAATGGTCCCAAAGAATGGTTCCTACATTATTTTATTACTTTAATTCAAGTCTAGCTGCAGTTTATATTAATACAATTTCGTAAACTCTACTTGGAAGTTTGAGTGGCTCCACTGATACTACAAGGCTCCTCAGACAGTTCAGTATTCCATTCTTTATATAGCCTGTGTCAGAATAAAAATTAGATCCTAGATGTGACAGGCAATCTAAAACCCCAGGGCCATATGTATCTCCAAGCCTTCTTCTTGTAAGCTTCAGACTCTGTTTTGCATAGATCTAGAAGGAATACTGCATATAAAATTATTTCACTATCCAGATACCAAACACAAAAAAAGAAACATTACCTGTCATTTGAGTATTTGTTCATAAAAAGCAAAACTGATCAGTAGGTATTGGAAAGCAAAGCAAAAGTAATATGGAAACCTAACTTTTTGTTAGCAATACTTCCCAGCATTAGACCTTTCTAATAAGGAGACATACTATAAACACTTTAGTTGTACAGTGGTGTTTAAATGTTTGTGAACCCTTTTGAATTTTCAATATTTCTGCATAAATATGACTTAAAATGTGATCCACACAATTATGAACTACTGAAGTTGGAGCAAACATGCAAAACACCTTTTGCCGTGCAATCCTATGGATACGTGGTCCAGCATTAGTCTTTGGTAAACAAATATCAATTCAGGTACACTTGTTTTTTTCATTCTGTAATTCATTTCATAAATCTATTTCATAAGATTCATCCATGTTAGCCTCTTGTCAGGTTTTATACTCTATTATCCTAATCCTTATCTTTTGAATATTTATGATATACAACTTTTTCTCCTGTTTTTCTGTGTTTGTGGAATGGTGTTACCAAACCCCAAAATTGGATTAAAAAAACAACAACAGACATAAGGGACAAAAAAGAAGAATAAGGGAAATGTTTGTAGAAGGTAGGGTTGGTCAAGTCAGGGACAAGGGTATAACTTAAGTAAGGAAAACTTCAGAGCTTTACAAATAGTGTACAATAATGTTAAAAAGATGGAAATGAATTTAAGTTCAGGACCACATAATCCAAGCAAATACAGATATAAATAATTTGCTAGCAAAGTTGCAGATGTACTATGGATAGGTGTCATGGGACTAGGGTGGGAAAAAGGAAATATAACAGAGGCGAACAGCAAAACAATTCATGACCTGCAGAGACATGAACAACTTAAATCTGAATTTTAGCAAAGGAGTGGGAAATTTCAAGAACAGCAGGGCTGTTGTTCTTCTACCTGCTGAAATTCAGATAAATTCAGAGGCTAAGGTAGCAGTCAGGACATTTACAGCAAATACATCCATAACTTTATCTTGTTAGCCTACCTCATGATTCCCTGTGAAAATAATGGGTGTGGGGGGGGGGGGAGAAAGAGAGTTATATATGCAGTACTAAGCTCACTTGGAAGGTTCTCCCTATGTTATCAATCTAATGTTTTAGATAATAGCCAGATTAATTTCTGTTGGAAAATATTAACAAATTTATCTATTATTTGTGCACTTTATCTACCATTGCAATCCTCCTTAATGTACACAATGCAATTTTGTCAAGCGTATCTCAGGCTGTCCTGAAATGGGCTGAGGCAATCATTTCAAATGCACTTTTCCATGAAAGCTGAGCCTTTATGCAGTCTTCTGGATTGTTCTCTCATTAGCTTTTGTGTTGATGACTATATAATATTAACTTACAAAATGACTTTCTCTTTTTAGTTATTGGACAAAAAGTGGGTATCTTGATTCATAACAACATAAATTATTAAAAGAAAAAGATGTCTAGCGGGAGATTTTTATTCTAGGGCACATCTTTACAAGATTTTTGCTATGCCTGCAGAAATTGAGGCAATGCCTTATTCTCCCAGACTATGCTGATCACTGCTTTTAGATAGTTGCATTTATTTTGCTTCATGCAACATTGGAGTGGCAGAAATGCAATACACTTGCATAGACAAAGACCATTTAAGAAAGACAGCTACAAAAACCATGGCATTGGTTCACTTACTGTTTAGTGATCTGTACTATAATGTATGTATCCTGATCCAGTGATTTCCCCTTAGGTTCCAAACTTTTAATATTCTGTGCAGTTAAATAGCACAGAAAATGTAGCTGGATATAGCAAACAAGGGCATGGAATAAGTCTCTCTCTCTTTCTTTCTTTCTCTCGCCACTGTTACTTTATTCAATGAAATCATATTGATATTTCCTGAATCCTGTTGTTGACAAGGTAGGCTATGTAAAGGTATTATAGGAGCTCATACAGTTTCCATTGTCTTTATATAAACCTCCATATGGCATTTCTATGAAGAATCAAGATGCTTTGTTTTTGGTTATTTCACACTAAATATACAACTTGATTTGGCTGTCAGATGGACAAAATCTCTCATATATCTCTTATATTCCCCCTGAACTTGGTCTAAGACACATTGAAAAAAATCCATAAAACTTGAATCTAAATCTCCACTTTCAATATTTGGGTAAGTCTAAGATTATATGGGTTTTGGCATCTTCTATTTTGTGACTGAATGGCCAGTTGTTGTGATTTGTCCAGTTTATTGCCTTACTGTAAGACAAGGCTAAAAAACCATCTTAATAAATGAACAGATGGCTTTGCCACACCTTCACAAAAAAGCCTGGTTCTTCTGAAAATGAGACCATTTTGTAGTTGTTTTAATGGCTTCTATAGTACAGGCATACCTCGTTTTATTTTGCTTCACTTTATTGCGCTTTGCAGCTTTTTTACAAATTGAAGGTTTGTGGCAACCCTGCATTGAGCGAGTATACCAGATTATGATTAGCATTTTTAGCAATAAGTTATTTTTTAATTAAGATATGTACATTTTTTTAGACATAATGCTATTGCACACTTGTGTGACTCGCTTTATTGTGAGATTCACTTTATTGCAGTGGTCTGGAACCAAACCTGCAATATCTCTGAGGTATGCCTGTATGTATTTAGAGCATGTCATGATGTTGCCAAGTAAATCTGTAAACATAATGCTACAGTACTGCTTGGGGGAAACAAAAGAAAAGTACTAACGTTAGTAACAATAAATCTTTTCTACTTTGGTGGGAGAAATCACAGTGTTTTCTAAAAAATATCATTCTTTTATCCTGACAAAACTTACTTTAGAAATATTTTTATTTGAAAGATATGGTTGCAGTTATCAGGTTTAGAAAGTGGCTAAACAGCATTCCCAGCCTGGTGATTTCCATGTTTTTAACTATAGCTCCCATGAGCTACAGTCAGTATGTCCATGGCCAAAGACGATCAAAGTGTAAATCAAAAGAACTGGGGATCACTAGATTAGGGAAGAATACACCCTTATACTTCAGTATGATTTGCTTCCTGATGGCACTTCCTTTTATAAAGAACAAAATTCTGCAGTTCAGGAATTAAACAGCAACAGAGAATAATAATGCCTAGGGCTTCACATTTATTGCGCACTTAACATTTATTATGCAGTTAGAACTCATAAAGAGTTAAAAGTTTTTTGAATTTTTTGTTTTTCTTCTTCATTGCACATGACTATCCTTATCATTAGGAGAAAAAAGTGGCTGGCCTTTAGCACAGATGGGTGTAGCTCTTCATGTCTTTCCTTCCAGGTTTTTGAGGACTTAGATGATCATGACTTCTTTCTCTTCATTTTTATTGTGGTGGATCTACTACCATTTCTGCATCTGTATGATCTGCAGAATTTTCTCCTGGGATATTGGTTCTAAACTCTGCCCGGGTTTTTCTATGGCAACTTCCCCATTCTTTAGTCAGCAATTGTTGATTCACTCAAACACCCTCATTTTTCTACCACAATGTTAGAGCATTTAGAAGTAACATACTATTCTATGTGCTTGATAGTTAGTATACTAAGAAATCAATTTTCTCTTTTGTAGAATATTTGAATAAGCTTTATTTTTATACAGATTAACATCAACAGTTGCTCTTCAGCTAATTTTCCTCCATTTGAAGAATGTTTCCAAACTATAATAATTTACAGCAAGGGTAATTCCAGACTGAAGGCTTCTAGCACTGTGAATCAAAAGCAATTGTGCAGCTGGTCCCTCTATTTCATCCGAATAGTTTTTCCCTTGTAAGCAAAAAGGTGGAATAAGCCTGTTAAGGTGATAAATGGAAGGTGGTAAAAATATCTTAGTTTTCCCCCTACCCTTCCTTGTGAATGAGACAGCATGATTATACAGTAAAAGCCTTATCTGGAAACATCTCAGGTAATGATATTTCTGATGCAGGATTTAAATGTAAGAGCTTGGACAAGGAGAATCCAGAGGAACTTGTATAGTAAACAAATTAATTTTTATTGGTCAATGACCAAAATAAAGTCTCTGCCTGTCTGATTGTAAACAAATTAAAGAAACTATTAAGATTTCTATAGACTTCCTAGTAAATAAAACTGAACGAGCCCAACAAACCTTCTGTAATTGTTCTTTTGCCTTAGCTTTTAAAAAATAAAACAGTTTTTTTTTTCAAATGAAGAAATAAGAAATGAACAATTCTAAGAAAAGAGTTGTTGCTTCATTTACTTTGTGCTGGGTGTTTTTAAAAAACATTGCTAGCCAAGATATCATCTCAAGATGCAGACATCCATTCCATGCACCATTACCCAATTTAAAAATAGAAAGTCTATTATAACAGTAAGAGTTATATATTCTTTGTGAACTAATGGACAGTGTAACAGATTGTGGCCTATTGCATATTCTTCAGACATAGCAAAAATGCATTTTCTGGGCAGGCCTTATGCTAATAGAATAGTAAGTGATCTATAGCATATTCCTGTAAATGTAAAGAAATTATTGCTGTGCACTGATATTTTTTATGGGAGGAGCAAATAAAATACATTTCACATAAAGGTAAGGAACAAGATGCATGGTTTTTTCATGTAACAATAGCATTGCAAGATATTGTAATGGGGCTGGCTTTAAAGTTTTTTTCCTGAAAACGCAATTGGTTCAGAACAGACTCACAAGTATAATGACTGAGACAGAATTTTGAACAACTTACTTCTCTCCCTCTCCCCAACCCTCCTCCTCCTCCTTCTCTACCGCCACTGCTGCATTGTTTCTCCCAATCTATTTTCATGCTCTGTTTGAAGTGCTGATTCTTCAAAGCCCTAATTCTAAAGTTTGGCAGTAGATTGCCTGAAACTCTTCCCCCAGATGACCTTCTGATGGCCAATGAGTTCCTTTTTTTGATAATGGTGGCCAGTCTTGGAAATAGTCTTCCCAAAAATTTCACCAGCTGCCATTTTCATTGTCTTTTTGATAGTCATTTTAATATGAACCATTAAAGAGAACTGTATTACGTAATTGCTAAATAAATATCACATATCAATGTTCCTTAACACAAAAGACTAGTTTAGAACTAGAAAAATAGCTAGTAGAATGAACTATTCATTTTTTAGAACAGAGTCTTCAAGCTTACCATATTCTGAGAGAGGAGCAGTGATAAGGAGAAAAAATAGAGGCAAAAGGGCTTGCAAAAGCTGACCACCTTTCTTAGGGTTCTCTGAAATAAAGGCATATTTTACAGGAAGAATGGAAAGTTCCATAGTTCTAGTCTACATGGAATCCTAAAATACAGATCACTTTAAATATGTATCTAGCAGCTGTGTTTCTTTTCCTTTTTACAGAGAGGGGTTTCTGATTGTTGGAATCCCAAGTAGAGAATAAAAGCTTAATAGTTCTCTCCCAGTAATGATTGTATTAGTATGGAACACTAATGGGGACCTTTTCTCTATAAATCCTGTAGCTACCCCAGAAAGCAATTTCTAACATGCGATAGGGAATGCACAGAGGTACTGTGTACTGTATATCATCTTTAGGTTCTTCAGTTCAAAAGGGGGATGCTGCATTCCAATGACAAAATGTTTATGAGAAAGCTGTGACTGAATTTCTGTACACAGATATGTCTCTTTCAAGACTTTGGCCCTCTAAAAAGAGTGTAAACAAAAATTTGAGCTTGATTTCTTAAAAGTGTAAAATGTCCTACTGAGCATTAAGATGGAACTCAAATGGTTAAACACGCCTTGGCTACTTATTTTCCATTAAAAGTTCTTTTGTTTGCATTAGTTCCATTGGTTCTTCCAGATAATTATTGTTTAAATTGGCAGACAACTATGATGAGGAAACTTCTCAGATTTAGAGCCAGTTCAGAATTCGTGACTTTCATGGTTCTAAAAGGCAAAGGCAACAATAAGTCAAAGGATAACAGATATTGATTTTAAAAGAGATTAGAAGAAGGTGCCACCTGTTTATATTTGCAATTACCTGCAAGATATCTTTCTAGTTTAATATTCACATGAAAGCCCTTATTCTGGCTAATTTTAGTGCTTTCCCCTTTGCCTTATT